GGCAACTTGAATTTACCAGTTTGTGATTGAATTCCACCCGCAACAGTCTGGAAGCATCTCCATTATTTTCACCAGTTCTGTGTTCCCAGTGCCAAAGCTTGTTTCTGCGTGTATCGTGATGGGGGGATATTTTGTGGATTAGAAATTAGCTTGCTACAGTGTATAAACCTACCATTCCTTACTTTATTGTTGTTTTACTTAATCAAAATGTTGTTCTGTGTGTGCATTTTCACTCACTGTCACACTGCACCTTAATTTTTGTACTATTAAAAATTCTGCTCTTCTGACTTCTAAAAGTTAACACAGCAGCCCAGTCACTAAGTGGGTCAATGCAACAAGGCAGCCTTTGATAGTTACCTATTTAATCTTTTAAATTAAGCTGGGCTAAGAATGTGATAGAATAAGGATTGGTGTGCTAGTTCATAGGCTATGAATTTTTAAAATGTGACATTTAACTTGGACTATTTGCTTCCTGTATTTGGGTATGGTATCCCTCTCTACTACCGGCATTTAAGTTACTTAAAGCAAAACACCACATTATACTGGTGATTTGCTTCCTCTCAGAAGCTGTTAGCAGCAGTGAGAATATTTCATTTACCATTCACTTGCCTTCTATGCTTGTGCTGTGGTCCTGCCACTATGTTTCCCCTACCTGCTCTGTCTTCCCCTTCTCTGCAGACCACATCCTTTTCATGTAGACCATTTTGATGAGCACCGACAGTGCCATACAGCGTTTGGTGACCGCTCATTTGGTGCATTGATGTGGAGCAGAAATATTGGAAGGGCAGGAAGAGGAAAATGCACTTTACAAACCTCCCAGCTGATGCAGACATAACAGCCCAGAAAGGTTGTGGCAGAACTGGCCTTGTGAATACAAAACAGTACAGTGAAAGGAAAGGTGGAGAGGAAAGTAGTTGTACTGGTGCATTCTGCCCATGAAATTACATTAACGGTCCAGCCTCAGAAGGTGCTCTCCAGTCCCTTGCTGGCTCCAAGCCCTTTCACTCATTAATCTCCTTAATGCATTGAACAAAGTTTAGAATCACAAAACAGGCAGTGGGCTCTGTCATTCCTCTGACCTATTTTTTTAAGGCTTCATGCAACTCACCAAATGACTGTATGCATACACACAGACACACACACGCTTGTTCAAACATCTTCAAACCTTCCACTGGTGCAGAAAAGGGTCACCTTGATAGAAAGGTGATCTCATGACACACAATGAGCTTCCTATAATAAGGAGGGGGGAATTGGGAGGTGCGGCGGGGGGACACATAACAATTTAGCAGTTTCTACCTTTGCACTGGAAAAGAAGGTGAGATATTTTATTATGAATAAGTACACAAGAAATAGGCAGTGGCTTTACATTGTAATTGTGCCACTATTGCAGGCAGAAAAGTGATAATTTCTAACATTATGAACTGGAGCTGTTGAGTTCACTATGCTTATTCTGGTGCCTCTGCTGTGGGTGGATCAGTGAAATCAGAGTGGTTATTTATATCTGGAATTCTCTCCCCAAACTCCTGCATTATGGCAACTCTTTCCCTCTCACTTTCATTTCAAATCTCTTCTCAAATGTCATCATATTTTCTTTGTAACCCTTATTTAAGTCTCTTTCCCAATCATCATCCCCAACTCCAGTCAAGTCTGATAAATCCTTCAGACCGTGTGCATGGGTGGGTGGGGTATTCTGCAACTTGTCACTGACCCAATAATAGTGCATTAGTGGGGGTTTTATACTGGGCCGTCCCCCCATGTTATTGCATTATTGCTATCTGGAGGGGCACTTATGTAGATGGCTGTAAAGTAGTCACAATGGCTATAATCTACCACCACTGTCAGAGGCAATATGTCTCTGAATACAAGTTGCTGGAACCATGAGTGGAGAGAGAGTGCTGCTGCACTCAGGTTCTGCTTTCAGGCTTCCCATAGGCATCTGGCTGGCCACTGTGAGATACTGGACTAGACCGGCCTTTGGCCGGATCCAACAGGGCTCTTCTTAAGTTTTTATGTACTGTTGTTAGATGTTCTTAAAGCACAGCTTGAGGTGTTCCTTCAGGCACTGGTACCACATTCTTTTCCCTGTCATAAGAAATAAAAGGAATCTCTCCTCTCTGTATCCCTACTTTTGAAACAGGTAAATAATTCTGAGTAAGTGGTTGGATATCTGTGCATATGTGGAATCTAGTGAGAAGCTGAAGCTAAATCCTGACTATCCAATTAAAAAACACAACCTTTATCATGCCCTTCTGCACACACTGAGATGCTAGCACTTTATGTTGCCTTTGCTGGAACATAATTAATGCTGTAAAGGTTGACATGCTGAGGAGACATGACCTCTCAACCTTACGCCCAGCAGACTAAAGGTTATCTCTGTGTGCAAAAGAGCTGAAAATCATATATGTATTAGTGAATAAAAAAAAAGAATGCTATAATTACTTTGCATCTCAGCTGATAACAGATTCAAACACATGATGGCTGAAGTGGTAGAGTTTCCTCGTGGAGGAGTTGCGTCGCCTCCTTTTTTGCCTTGGAACCCCACCCCACCCCAATTTGAAAAAATGCACCACATGAGAAGTGAGAAGGGTAGCTTTAAGAAATATGACTCCCTAAAAGGCCCCATCTGCATTACACATTTAAAGCAGTATCATACCACTTTCAACATTCATGGCTCCCCGCAAAGAATCCTGGGAACTGTGGTTTGCCAAGGGCCCTGGGAGTTGTTAAGAGACTCTGTTCCCCTCAAAAAGTTACCATTCTCAGAGTGATTTAACAGTCAGCCCCTCTTCCCAGGAAACTCTGGGAATGGTAGCTCGGGGGGTGTCTCCTCACAGTTAGAATGCTGAAAAGATGCCTCAGCAGCTCTAACCAGCTACAATGTAGAAGCAGGTTTTGTATAGACACTGGACAGATTTTCTTTAGGGACAAGGACAAAGACCATCACTACTGAAGGTGCTCAACTGCATTAATAAACTGATGGAAAGAAAGAAAAACAGAGGCCACCACAGTCAGAATAAAGGATGCTTTTAGACCAATCATCACTTAAGCTATGTGGTTGTTACAAAGGAACACAAGAAGCCGCCTTGTACCATGGGTCAACCTAATTTTCTACTCTGTCTGGCAGTGGCCTTCCAGAATTCCAGGCAGGAGCCACTCCCAGCCCTGTCTGGAGATGCCAGCACTTGAACTTGGGACCCTCTGCATGCAAAGTGGATGCTCTAACATTGAGCCCTCTTGGGAGTATACTTTAAAAAGGAGACTGCAGCTAAAGCCAAGAATAGAGTTATCATCCTCAGCAATTTGTGTTGTGTGTAATATCACCCTTAAGATCCAGTTAGCATTGATTTTTCAACTGCAACAAAAAAAAAAAATCCTTTGATCCAGTAATTTAGCGCTCACTGTCGATCGACACAATTCCTGTGAATAATAAAGCAGTTTCGAAAGAAGAAAAAAATCTTCCAGTCGTTCACTTTTAAGAAAGTTTTCTTATCACTAGCATCACTAGTCATCCTTAAAGATTTTAGACATTGAGGTAGTGTTGCTCAGAAGTGTGGAAGGAATTTGTGGAAGTGGAATTCATATGAATTCATGAACGCCTTTTCCCTACATGGCAAAGTATTCTGCATCCTCCTGTGTTTTAGGGCTTTGTTGCACCACACACCGCTGAGTCTAAATTCCCAAGTGATTGCTGTATAACATAGCAGCCTGATTACTCCTCCAGTAAGTATAGTTACACATTGCTATACCCTTACAAAAAGGGGTTGGGAAGGGTCGTGTTCAACAAAGCTACAGCCTACATGTTCAGACCCTGGATCCTTCTCTCATTCCACACCTGGAGAACCGGGGGCTTGAAGCTGAGAGCAACAATGTGATGCCTAATTGATCAATATGTTGGTTGAAGTGCGACTACAGTATCGGGTGGGGGGGTATGATATGTCAAGGAAAGAGCCCAGCTGTGGGTGGTGGTTCAGAATGGGGCCTGATGAACATGGAACAGAGCTAAAAGGGGGGTGGGGTGTCAAGTCAAAAATAAAATAGCTCTGTCTCTTGCCTCTGTCCCCTCGCCCTAGGATTCCAGTTCTGCCCCTGGAGACCTGAAGAAGGAAGCTAAAACACTGACCCTGTAGACCCACTCCTCAATGTATTTCCCCTCTTTCCTTTCTCTATGTCCCATCTCTATCCTTCTATTTTCTCCTCTTGAAATATGGTGGTGGTAGTACAAGTGTACTGCTGCTTGGGAGAAGGTGTACAAGGCAACTCTGTTGTGTAGATCACAACCCATCAGTTCGAAGCCATATAGCAGCACACTTTTCAGTGATATCTTTGGAAGGACCTGTGTTCCCTCCCTCCCTCCCTCTCCTTTTATGGTCCTTATCTATTTGTCCTAAAGCTGGATTAGGGTGAGCTGAAGCCCTATGTCAAGTTTAATACGTCCCACAGCATAACAAATAAATGTGTATTATTCTAACAGAAAAGACAATGAAAACAGAAACAATAAACTTACATAGGCAAGGATGCTAGTAAAAGCTTACAATCTAACACAAGCAAGTATCCTGCAATAAACCTATTTGCATATGAAATACTTTTAATGGAAAATAATTTATGATTTCTTTCTTAGCTTATATGAAACTGTATCATAGTTATTTCTGGACAGATTTATAAATACAATATAACAAGTAATAGTATAGCCATTTATGCTTTTTCATATCAGAATGATGTCTGTTTTCCCTCTTTTTTATTTTTTAACCACTTATGTAAAACTTGAAATTAGGAGTTGTTTTCAAGTAAGTTCTACTCACAGTATATATATATATATATAAAAGGTAAAGGTCCTTTGGACAGTTAAGTCCAGTCAAACTTGGCTATGGGGTCCAGCGCTCATATTGAGTATTCACATTTAAATTAATATTAAACATTAGTAATTTAGGTTCAAGTTCAAAGTGTCTAATCTGAGGAGGGCTAATATTGGCTACGATCCCACTTTTGTTGTTATTTTTTTTGGGGGGGGGTTATTTATAGGCCTCTCATAATCTGAGGCCTTACGCCGCAGCCCACTTAGCCTGTGCATAAATCTGGCACTGATTTGGCCAAATGAGTACAGCCACAAGGGATCATCCAAAATAGCAGGTAAATTTAAGAATGACTCATTCCAAATATTAGAACTTGAAATCCCAAACTCAGGTTGCCAAAAAAAGGCAAGGGGGACCCCCCCCCCCCCGAGACACATTGCCTTATATGCCAGAAGGAAGGGAAAGTGGCTTTTGCTTTCATTGGATCTGAACAAAACTTCCCAACTGGAATTTGAAAACAAAACTAGATCTTGCCCACTTACTTTTAATTTGTATTATTAATATATCTAGGTCATTTAATTAAAATATCTCTAGGGCAGGCCCTTATATTAAGAAAATGAATTGAGGTATTCTTTTTTCATGCTTTCGGCAATCCTTGAAAAGTACAGAATCATATAATTACTGATGAAGCAGCTGCCACCTAAGCAGTACAGTATTTCTGTCATGCATGGAATGGAATGAAAAGAAATGATAACCCGATTCAGAAAGAATGCAAAGGATTGGGCAGGTGGGGGGAGAGATAAGCTTGAGTTTGGCTCCCTTTTCTAAGAAATAAATGATGAGCAACTTCCTTCTCAACTTTCACAACCTCTCACTGCTGTAACAGGTTTGATCCAGTTTTGTATGAAAAAGTCAGTAGCACAGAGTTGCCAATGAGGCAACCATGAACACCTTCAGACCTTGCCCTGGCAATGATTAAAAGTCTGATCCCCTGCCCCAGTCACCAACCCCTTGGTCATGAGGTGGCAAAGTTGGTTACGTACCCACCTGCTGAATGTGCGTAGAGTTGAAATAGGAAGTTGGAAGAGGGTCATTCTTTCCCACTTCCACTTTCAGCTCTATGGGCTTTTCAAGGCTTTGATCAATTCTACCGGGTTCAACTTTTACCCAGATCCCCTGCAAAAGTGATGCATGTGCACCTGTTTTTTCTTGGAAAGAGTGGAGTGGCAAGAGAAGTGAGCAGAGAGAAGGGTCCCAACACCCCTTGTTCAAAAATCCAAATGTGCCTAACCTGAAAGGGTTGACAACCACTAGACACCTTGAAGTTATTTAGTGGTATTTCATCAGTGGTATTTCAGAATGGGCAACCAACCAGAAGGCTTGGACTTCTGTGAACACTCACTCCATACCAGGTATAGTGTGTTTGTGTGTGTGTGTGTGTGTGTGTGTGTGTGTGTGTGTGTCTCAGAGTATACGTTCTGTTGAGCAAAAAAAAAAAGTTGAAAAAATGGCAAGAAAAAGTTAGTTGCTCTTTTCTGTTACTCATCTCTGGAAGTGGACAGTATGAAAAATTGGGACTCTGCAGCAAAGTGGAAGAAGGCATCAGTTATCCTTTCATGCACTACACAGAGCCAAGTTGCTATTAAATGTATACTCAGGGTGCCGCAGCCTGCCTCAGTTCCCCAACTTGCACATCTGTATGATACACATATTTGCAAATGCATGTATGTTGCATTCACAATGGACTTTTAAAACGCCTTAGTAATAACATCTGTCAATCAATAGACAGAAAGATGCCTTTAGTCAACATTTATCCTTGCCTCTCTCCATCACTTTTTCAATGATTTTTTAAAAAAATACTATTTTCTACTTGCTATCCTTCCCCATTGTGGGTACATTTTTGAGTGAAATAAACAGAGATATCTCACCCTCCTCTTGAAGACCTTGGCACAGATTCACTTTAATACAGAAGAAAACAGAACAAACTCCTATCAGACTAAAACTCAATTTGAAAATCCCACACCAACATGCACACAGCTAGCTTAACCCTTACCCCCCAAATGCCAGACCCTGTAACTTGCTCGAGCTCTGCAACAACCAATATATCCCTTTTGCATCTCAAGGCTAAGCTCAGAGAGCGAGGCCAAACTCAGTAACATAAAGCATGTTTCTCAGGAAGCACCTATTGCTTTCATCAGCCTTGTGATTACAGCTCTCTGCTCCAGCTGTCTGTACTGTTCTCTGCAGGTCCTTCCAGTAGGGTGCTGATTGCCACTTAAATCAATGGAAATTGAGGGTGCTAAGGACTTTCCAGACTGTGTTCTTGCAGATTAGAAATAAATTGAAAACATTACCAGGAGTGTCCTTTTCCAACCATTAAAAAGGAATGCTTTTAAAAATCCGGATTTACTATTGACTAAATTTGGGCCTGGAGGATTGGAGCATTCTTTATTAAGCGTAGTGAGACTGTTAATATCCCCGGGCCGCTTTCACCAAAGTGGAAATGCAATATCATGGGCCTTGAATCCTGCTCTGCCTACCTCCATGCAAAACAGCACTGCCTAAAAGCACTGATTTTCAGGGCTTTTCAAAATCCACCATTTGCAGATTTTGATAGAGTTTTCCACGTGAATGAAAAACACCAAAATTACAAGCAGGGTGATACTGGCTGAGTCTCCCATTTAAATCAACAGCAAACAAAACTAAATGGGAATAAAGAGAAAGAATGAACTAGTACTAAGTCAGTTGAAAACGAATTAACAAAGCAAATGCATGTTTTGATAATGAAAATGGGTTAAATAAATTATTCTTTTTCTTGCATACACCTAGAACTCTTCCAGTTATTCCTCCTCTTCCCCCCTTATCAGAAATGACATTTAAAAAAAAAATCCAGCAGATGTTTTAGACGTACAAGTTAACTGTTGGATAACACCGAGTCTCTACTTTGGCATATTTTCTTACAACCCCATGATTTGCTATTGCACATTTTTGTGCATTTATCCACAGGAGTGAAAATAAGGAAAAGGTTGAAACTAATAAATGTTTTAAGAGTAGGGGATAATTTTCTCTCTCTTTTGCATTTGAGAAAGCAGAATGAATTGATGCAATATTTTTCTGTGGATTCATTGTTCCATGATGTAACATACTACGAACAAGTGGCATATGAACTGTATAGAGGAAGGGGTGGGGTTGCTTAAATAACTTGCTTATGGATACTGCAAAGCCAGTCTTCTTTTCTAGTCTGCCTGCAGGCCCTGCCCTCCATGGGACCCAATGTGCATGCTGATTAGTTCCCACAGAAGTAGCTCATCCCCTTCCCATCTCCCCTCGTGCCAGCATTACCATGCCACCTTGACTCAACTGCTGATTTAGCCATGCACAAGATAGAGTATTCCTGTATCTTCACCCTTCACCTCCCCACTAAGCCCCAAAGTGGGTCCAAGTTTAGTTCAGGAGTTTGGTCTTGTATACTGTATGCAGTGGGGTGTTATCAAGTCACATATACAAAAACTGCTTCTGGGTGAATTTGCCCTTGCTGGATCAGGTTCCAAATCAGGCTCCAAAATTCATACTAAACGCTGTTAGGAAAGCCAGCGTTCTTTTATCTGGGAATAGGAAATCAGGTGAAGATCTTCCTGCCACACAAGGATTCCTGTGGCCAGCTCAGCACTGCAGCTGCAAAAATTTGAATTTTATTGCAGCTATACTGGCCAGGATCCAAATTAACTACTTTGGGCATGCCTGTTGGATATTGGCTTTTGCCCCATGCACACAGCAAGCTCTACTGTCATAAAATACCTTGGAAGCTCTCCCTTGGGTAACTGTGGAACAAGGGGTGGGTTGGAGTTGCTGTTCAACCATGTAACTAGTTGCATGGTTCATTGGATCCTGGCCATTTTAATCAAATGAGGAGGGGTCGTAACTCAGTGAGAAAGCACATGTTTTGCACCCAAAACTTCCCAAGTCCAATCCCCAGCATCTCCAGTTAAGAGGAAGGCAATGGGAAAGGCTGGGAACCAGAAAAGAGCCACTGTTAATCAGGATCATGCTCATATTTATAAGGCAGATTCTTAAGTTCAGTGCATGTCTTACAAGGATTTGCCTGGACAAGGGCTTAGTGCAAAATGAGCTGGGCTGTAGCAATTCATGTGGACTTGCATGTGGCTACTCAGACATAGAAAGGCTTGCTTATGAAAATGTATATGAGGTGAAAGCTAGATTATAAAAGTTCTCCTCAAAATCAATTATTTTATGCAGTGGGGACTTCTCGTCCAAAGGAACATTCAGTCATGTGAGACCCCACATGACTATGTACAGCCCAGCCCATTTGGCCCATCTGTAACACAGTCTATGCCATTCAAAATGCAGGAAGCAGACTAATTGTTGCCCAATCTTCTTCCCCTATCATCTTTCAACAGAGGCAGAGCTTGTGTGGCCAGCACAGATCAGCAAAGGAGATAAGACATATTGATGCTTCAGTCTCAACTCCATCAGGTTTAGGTTTGATATATGAATAAACATCTCAAGTAGATTTTTATCAAATTCTGCTAAGGGGATGCTTCATCTAAGTTTCAAAATGTTTGTATTAGTTGTTAATTTGTAGGGCAGATGAAGGCATATAATTAATGCAAATACTTGTTCAGAAGTACCACCCACACCATAATTCACAGAAAACATGCCCTGAGGTGGTGGTGGTTATTATTGTGGTTATACAAAAAATATGATTGTCACCTATCTGAAACAGTCTTGGCCGGGGGGAGGGGAGTGCCACCTTTCCAAGATGTCATGCCTGCCTTCATTTTCGTGAGGTGGGGACCGAAGCAGAATCCAACAGGTTCACGCCCATCACATGAGATTAATCAAATAAAATCCAATCTACAACTACAATTATTCAAATTTCAAAGCCATTACCATAGCAACAAAAATGCTAGACATTACCTTGCACTGCAGCCACAGACATAATGCTCAACTGTCCACTATCTCCCAAATGCTTGAAGGAAATCATTTGCCTTAAGTTGGCACCAAAAGGCCATCAATGTGGAGGACAAACACACCTCCAAAGGAAGGGAATTCCAGAACTGTGATGCCACCCCAGAGAAGGCCCTGTGCAATGTCACTGCATCCCAAGCACCACCCACCAGCAGAATACAAACAGGGCATTCCCCAAAGATCTTGAAGCTTGACCTGACAGCTATTGAAATAGGTAATCCTTCAAGTATTTGGGTGCAAAGTCGTTCAGGATGAAAGTCAACACCCTGAATTGGACACCATAGCATATAGGAAGCTGGTGCGGTTCTTTAAGAATCAGTGTGATCTGATCTCATTTTGCTGTACCACGTAGAAGCTTGGCAGCTGCATTGAACACAAACTGCGACTTCTGGACCATCTTTAAGAATACATAGAGTACATAGTCTTAGTCTAATCAGAGGATTACTGTGGCCAGGCCATCCCAAATAGTGAGTGAAAAATCTTTTAACACATCATAAAGACCTTGTTTGGCTACTGCGTGTTTTCTGACAATATAAATTTCAGTCAGAATTCCAAATTAGCCCTAATGGATGGCAGGAATTAAGAAATATGTTTTATTTTTCTTATTAAGTTAGAATAACTATTCCAGACCAATCAGAATCTGGCTGACAATTCAAACGGCAGAGAATGTGGATATATTTCAATTTAAACATGTATGTGGATCGTGTTTTAAAAAGAAGCAGAAAACAGATATGATGACAATAATGAAAGCAACTATTGTTGGACACAGGCAACAAAACCTTCTGAACTTGTACTGAGTCTGCCTGTGTTGTTCAAAATTTCTGCATTTTCTTTTGGGGCAGAAATTGTTACAGTAAAAGGCATGGATTGTGCATCTATCTATCTATCTATCTATCCATCCAACCATACATCCATACACACAGAGAGATTTACATAGTTTGATATTACACTAAGTTATCAGTAAAGAAGGAACTTCTCAATGTCAGTTGTATTTAGCTAGAGCAAGAGAGTAATATATATTATGTTGATTTATTCACTCGGTATACTACAGCAAACATCTATTTCATTAAGGTTTAAACATGAACACAGGAATGCCTGTATTTGGCTATGCTCTGGTGGGGAACATTTGGAGTGGGGAATAGAAGCCTAACATGCAGCCATTTATCCCCTTGGTGGCAGGAAGATGCACGTGACATAGATAGATTAGACAGGGAGGCATGAACACGCACACATATGGATTTTTTTTACAGAATCCAGGCAGCTGACACTTTTCATTCATGCTCTTTGCTGCCACCTGCCATTCCAGAAGAGCAAGACTTAGCATTGATTTAAAGGGATGCCACATACGGCTGTTTAGCAGACACTGACTAATTACAGCACTGGCAGTGGCTGGCGGAGAGCCAGCCGTCCATGCTCATGCGCAGCACTGCTGTTTCATAAATCAATGTGCTTTCTTTGCCTGGATTTTAAATATGTGGATAAGCCTTCGGAGCTGCAGGAAGATCACATCGATATATTTGCCCCACAGCCTTTGCTCTCCCCCTCCCCCGTCATTCTGTTATGTGTCTGTCAAAGGTCTGTTGTGAAACAGCCCTCAAATGCCTGTTCTTTTACTATCGTGAGCTCCTCTCTTCAAACTAAGAAACACTCAGCAGCTAACTATTCAACTATCTCAAATGCAATTTGAAAATAAATAAATAAAATCTTCTGTTGCAGAGGTGCATTTAGATGCTTGCCTAGAAACAATGATGATTGCTCCTGGGTGAGGAGGCAGGAGGATAATCCTCTACTTGGAGAACTGTCTGATCCAAGTCTTTTTGAAAGAGCACAGCAAAAGCCTTGAAGTTGCTCAACAAAATTTAGCAGACCAAGCAGGCACACAGGCTACATTACAACAAGCTACATTAGGTTGCTCAGGAGTGCCCATGTGACCAACGCACAGGGACTTAGAAGGAACATATGGGGAATGCTGCTGCTGACCCTAGTATCTGCCAACTGAGGCAAGCCACACTCTGCCTAATGGCAGGGTCGAACCTGGGTATGCCCAGTGCTCCAAGATTTATACAGATGTGATGGAGGACAGTATAGCATGGAAATGGAGTCATACCACACACAACACTAGTCAGAAAATTGTGTCACATTTAACCAGTGATGCCTTGTCTTAGACTAAGGTTCTCCTGAACTGAAAGGCTACACTGGCAGCCTTCACTAACCTTCAGCCAATTTTGCCTGCTTCCTCTAATCCCTGGAGCTGCGTGTGCTACTTCTGGCCTTACGGTGATGTGCTGGCATAGCGTTCGGTATACACTAAGCGGTTGTGAGTTTTAAGATGAGTGCATTAGATTTCTACCTTTCCCAAGTACTTTATAGGCATTAACTAAATTCACTTTCACAACCTCTGTAAGATAAGAGCTAAAGACACTTTTTATCTCCAGCACACAAAAGGGCAAACAAGTTAAAAGATATGTCCAAAATCCACAAAGGAAGTTGGAGTTGGAGCCAGGAGGAGAGGAGGGAACACTCTGCTCCAGTCGCCAGAGGCAAAGCTTTATTCTAGCAATGACAGCTAGTGATGAAAACAGGAGCATTACTGAATCAAATAAACAGAGCTCTAAAGGAAGCTCCCTTAACCTTTTATAGCTGGTGAATAGTTGTGGTGAAGCTAAACTTCATGACGTATTTTAGGAAGCTTAAAAATACAGAGAGGAAGGAACAAAAAGAGCTCAGAGAAGACCCTTAGTATATAACCCAGTGATGGAAAATTTGGCCAAAGTGATGACCAAAGAGGCATAGGTTTTCTGTGGGGCATTTCCCCTTAGTCCGTTGGGATAACAATAGTATTTAAAAGAAAGGTTTACTGGTCCTAGCCAGACAAGATGGAAAGAAGCCAAATCAAATTATTTTGACAACATATGTGCTTGTCTTGATAATGTTATACTGCATATTTAGGGTCTGTCCCATTCCCCCACTTCCAATTATCTTGTTCCTTTTCCTGAAAGTATGCGTGGAAGTTCATTGTTATTCTCACTGTACAACATGGCAACTTGAGGCTGGAACTAATGTATAATTATAAGAAACAAGTTTGATGAGAGAGTGTTTTTTCTATAGTTTTCTGTGAATGACTCAAAATGGATTACAGACCCAAACATGGGCTGATCATTTTAGATAGCTGTTCTATTATTTTATTTTGATTTTTTTTAAAAGTATTGTTCCAGTGTTCTTATTCTCGCTAGGTAAAAGGGTCTAGCTGGCTTCAACAAGTGAGAAAAAAATTGTCATGAACACTCCCTTCTTCATGAGTGTACTTTGTTTTCTTCAAATATACAAACCGGGAGCCTTCAACTCAAGGTAAGTTTTTAATATGGCCTTTGCTCCCTTCTTCTCAGGGTTGCCAGATGGCAACCCAGAGATTAGCATTACTGTATACCAAAGTAAGAGATGCAGCAGCCATAGCTTTTCCATCACTTTTTCTTTCTAGCTCTCTTGATCATTTTTACCTGCTGTAGAGAGCAGGACACCAGGTTTGCCACCCAGCAGCGAAGAAAGAGGGCTGGTCATCAATAAACTGGGAAACAGAAGCCATGGACCTCTTATTCCTTTGCCTCAGATGGGGTTCTTAAAAGGAGAGCATTAATACCTCAGTAAACTTAAGAACGTAAGAGCCTGCTGGATCAAGCCAATGGCCCATCTAGTCCAGCATCCTGTTCCTGCAATGGCCAACCAGATGATAAACCCTCAAGCAGGCCCCAAGCACCAGAGCACTCACCTGCTGCAGTTTCCAGCAACTGGCATTCAGAAGCATCACTGCCTTGGACTGTGAAGGCAGAGCACAGCCATCGGGGGCTAGTAGCCATTGATAGCCAGGGCTGGATTTAGGTTTGATGAGGCCCTAAGCTACTGAAGATAATGGAGCCCTTTATATGTCCAGCTGTCCTTTGTCAACCACAAATTGTCGCTGTTTTTTGTGTTGAATATATGCTATATGGTAATTTATGGACCTAATAGGTATCTAAAGCCATTTGCACATAACAAAATATGTATTTTATCAAAGTAATTATTGAACTGAAATACAATTAAGAAGAAGTATATTAATAGTGGGAAAAAATTGGGGCCCCCAAGAGAGTGGGGCCCTAAGCTATAGCTTGTTTAGCTTATCCGGCACTGTTGATAGCTTTTATATTCCATGAGATTGTCCAATTTTCTTTTAAAGCCACCCAAAAGTTAGAAACGGGGAACATAACCTGCATGGTATGACAGATTCCACTTCCCCATATTCCACATAAGAAGAACCCTACTGGATCAAGCCATCTTGTCCAACATCCTGTTCTCACAGTGGCCAATCGGGTACATAAAACAGCACTCTCCCCACTTGTAATTCCCAGCAACTGGTATGCAGAGACATACTGCCTCCAACAGTTGCAGTAGAACAGATATCATGGCTAGTAGCTGTTGATAACTTTATCCTTCATGGAATTTGAAAGGCAGAGAGTGAAACCTACATACAAAGGCATAAAAATCCTCCATGTGCTTAGTATTTTTTCCTCAGGCAGTCTCTTAGGCCTAAACAATATATGCAATAAAGGCTGCAAAGTATGCCTACTGATTTTCAACAGCCATCAGCCTTAAAGCCACTTATGATATTTCATCCATCTGTTCAGTTGTTCTATTTGTGTGCATGTTTTAATAACCAAATATGGTTACAGTTCGGATCCTAAGTCCTGCAGCCTATAAAAACCTCATGTGCTCCTGTTAGAAAAAAAAACCCATTCCCTTGCGGGTCCTCTTCCCTGCTGGAAACATTTGCCACACATCGTTTTGTTAGATTCATTTCTGATGGATTTATTTAATAGTTCAGCTTGGCAATATATCAAAGAGACTCACAGCAGCCATCTTCGCTGATGATGAGGGGGTATTTCTTCTACAGTTTCCTATGAATGAAAAAGCACTTCTAATCCCAGATGCTATCAGTTTACTAAGAATAATCTAATCTTTATGTAAGATCAGGTTGCTCTCAGATTTCAATGCATGGCTGTGAATGCTTATCTAAGTACAAGCAAAATGATTTGTTTTACAAGGCCAGAAATTCCTCATGCATAAATATATACACACAGAGCACACTCACACATACACTCACAGGAAACAATTGATAAACTGTAAAACACCTTGACAAAGTAGTTTAATATTCACCTGTGATAATATCACCTGCCTCCCACTCAGCAATTGATCTCTGAATGATTTACAATAAAATATCCAAAGCTTTGGAAGTTGTTTACATGTTACAGTTCATTTTACAAGTTACAAATTCAATCAAGGAGAATACACGGCAATTGGTGTTCACAGTCAGGTCCTCTCAGAGGTCTAGAAAGGCCCGGGTCATTCAATCTTTTGAATAGGGAGCTGTCCTCACTGCCCCACAGCATTTGCCACCTGAGGCAGTTGCCTCGCTCTGTCTCATGGTAGGGCTGACCCTGTGTTGCTGGACTTCCCACCATCACTAAACATTGGTTGTTCTGGCAGGAACTGATGGGAGTTGGAGTCAAACAATATATGAGTGGCCACAGGTTCCTCACCCTTCTGGTAGTGTTGAGAATTCCCCATCTGAAATCCTGGAGCACTGTCAATTGCTTTAGATTTAGAAACTTACCTATGCAATCAGTAGGCGGCCAGTTAGTGTGGGAAGTAATCCACTGGAGCAGTCAGGTACAACACTTCCTGTTTGCCTAGAGTGGATATGCAGGGGAATGTTGGCCAACCAGTTGAACTTCCTGTTACACTTGGTCTGGAGCATCCTTTCCTTTGCATGTGACTAGTAGGTGGGTGTGACCTTTCCAGAACTGGTGAAAGGCCAAGTCAAGTAGCCAACTCCCTTCTTTTTTGCCCTGCCTGCTTCCTGCTTCACCTAGACTGCAATGCTGGCCAGCAGTCCCTAGGTTATCTCCCATATGGGGTAAACCTGTTTGTACATATTCCATATGGGGTAAACCTGTTTGTACATATTCGTAACTTTAAGCCTAAAGCCTTCGGGGATCACACTGTGCTCTGCCTGATCGTGAGTAGAACTACTTTTTGTTACTTATGAATAAGACCGTTGTGTCTTTATTTTTTTAGGAGGGATCAAAGGGGTCTTACCAGGAATAATAGAACATATCTCAATCTGGGCAAGCCAGATTGAATTGCTTATTGTCTTAAGAGACTCACACGAGTTTGCAACCAGCTTCCTGCTGTGTAATAGGGGAATGCACTCTGCTGTATGAAGAAACTTGCTAATGTGAGTTAGGAAGGATAATATTAATCAATATATCCTCTCCTGTTACCCACAACATTCCCACAGTTAGATACCAGTCATGCACCAATGTGCATCTAGGCTGTAGGATCCATGCCACAGAGGAACATGATAATACTTGAAATTATTTTGCCAAATCTTCAATGTCAGCTCACATATGTCTATGCCATCAATTGTTTAAGAGATGCAAATGATGCATATTATGTAAATTATGTGTAAAGTATTTACTTCACTTATTCCAGTGCCTTATTTACTCTGACTACTTATGAGAATGATTGGGAGAAGTGGCAGCATTGCTTCTAAAAGGAAGTAGAGTGCAGCCTGTTAATGATCTTGGCGCTTAAATGATCTAAAAAAGAAGGGAATATGCAAAGACCAATTTGTGTGCCTTAATAAAAAAATATAAAAAAGATACAAAACAAAAACATTTTTAAGCATGCAAAATCTAGCAGATCGTAATGGTATCATCTAGGCTAAGAATAGTTCACATTTTGCCATGGCTATTTATTTCATTAGATTTAAGATCAGATATCAGCATTTAAGATTAATACAGTTAGCAATCACAAGTAGCTTTTATCAACATCAAAGCAGGCAGATGCTATAGTTTGTGCCTGAGCAGAGAGTTAAACATTTGTGCTTTTGTGTATCTAGATGGTTTCATGTTAGTATTGACTATTATTTCAGATGCAGAATTGTCGCACAAGCCTTAACATTGATCTTCCTGCCATATATCTGATAGCAGTAAAAACCCTGCTTGCTTGTTCTCTTTAATGAAACTCATTAGACTGTTTCTCCACTGAAAGAGATCAGTGGATCTACTTAACTCTATTAGTGAAATTGCCAAGCCTTTTAATTACCTGGTTCAGAATCCAAATTTGACAAGCTAATAATGCATACCTGTGTTCCAAACCAAACCCAATCCTCCCTCTTTCAAATTACAATTCAAGATGGGGGCAGGGATGGGTGGAAGGAGATGGATTTGCCACCCTCTAGCCCATATTTACTGACCATATTCTAGTAGCTGCAGTTCTGGCAACATGGGAAAGGGTCTCTTTCTACCCTCACTGCTACTCCTAGTTCCCCTCCCACTTCAACAGGGAAAACTATACTCCCCAGGAAGGAAAGAAGATGGAGTTAAATGAAAGAGAGGCACCCTGGAGAAATGTGGACAATACCATTGTGAAGATGAGCCTATCCTGTTTTCCTCACATTTTAAGGCCACAGGGGAAGTGGTAGCAATTACCAGAGCAGCTTCTAGTCTGTTCCAGATACTTCATTGACAACAGACTGGACTAAATGACTTTCAGGTCTCTTCTGGTTCTGTAGTTCTACTCTAAAGTTCATCATTATGGAAGTTCATCATGATGTCCGATCAGCCAAATGTGTGAACAATCTCCAAATGATATAAGAACATTCAGTCTGAGCTGGCCTGTGGATGTTGAGATTAAGGTAGTAGAGGAATTAAGTATGTGTGTTAATATGAATCCATAGAATATTAAAAGGTAAATGAGAATATTTAAATCTATGCAAAACCCCTGAACTACATAATCAGAAGAGTCAGATAATGGTGCTTTTGCTTAATTATACTACTTCAGGCCATGGGGTGGGAATCATGCTTAAATGCTCACCCCACCACCACACACAAAAGGCACCTCCCTTCACCATTTAAATAGTACAGTTGCAGAACTATACAACTTGCTTTTTTCTGAAAATGTAGCTCAGACCTTAAGTTCATTTCAACCATTTCAAACCATACAGAGCTGGTTTTAGACAGCAATAACTGAGGTCAATTCATCAGCATTATAATCACCATAATCTAATATTTATATAGCACATAAGCCTCATATCTTTATTTCAAATAGGTTGGTTTTCATTCCCAAGGACAGTGATATACTAAAGATCAAATACCAACATTTTATAATGTGAGAGATCCCCCCAAGTCATCAATAAACAGGATCCCATTTGCAGGCAAAGGTAGAAGTTTGGGTCCTGTATATAATGCTTGCATGGACATCATTAGGTTCTCTTCTGTTCCTTCCAGATACAAAACTGTTCACCTTTACTAACATGATCAAAACCATTCACATGAGCCTATTGTTCCTGTTCTCTTTTCTCTTGAAACACACAGCAGCCTAGGTACTACTGTTATTTTCCTTTTAATAAGATAATAGCTTCACCTTATCAAAAAATTGTTAGACAGCTGGCATACTAATTATTCTAACCCTGTCCACATTTAGTTGGAAATATCTGGCACTGATTTAAGTGGAACTAACTCCAAGGTAAGATGACAAACTTTTCTACTGTCCACTGTAACTATGCCTTTAATAGAGGCTCAATATGCAGAATGGAGTTAGCTTAATTTTTTAAGACAGCATGGAGATAAACCTCATCACTGGCAAGCTTCAGTAGATGAAGCTGATATTGAAGTCATAGTTGCAGAGGCCAGTTGAAAATGTGGCAGCCCAACTCCCAAGTACAAAGGCACTGGACTGCAGCTTTACTCATATTTCTAGAAAATATGCACATCAAAATACATGTGCAAAACATATATGTAACTGTAATATCATGATATTCCTCTCCCTTCTCACCACCACTCACTGCATTTTACCTAATTGAAAGTTTCAGATCTCCTGTATACTGGCATGTCATTTTGTTATTCCATAGAATGGCATAAACAGCCAACATCTCCCTCTGTACAAGTGAAATAATTACAAAGGGCACTGGTGCCCCATGCTTAGGATGACTTTATCACTTTCACTTCTTAATTCATTTAATTCTTCAGAGAAGATTATTGCAGACAGTGAAATCTTGGATATTGCTGAGAGAAGGGGGGGCGGGAATGTACTGTAGAGCAATTCATTTTGGTCCTCTACAGCTATTGACGTGCTCCATAATATCTTCAATGTGTTTCTTCAGCTCTTTCTGGTGTTTAACAACCTTATCATGAGGGCTTTTGTGTAACTGAGTGATGTAGAAAGCCCCTCTCTACTGAAAATAAAGGCAGGGGGGAGAAACCTGAATACTAGGCAATTGATAAATAATACTAGTTGGCTCCTATTAAGGTCCCCACCCCACACCTGCTGCCTTTATTTTCAGTAAGATGTTCAATGTAAAGGAACAGGAAAAACTTTCAAAAACAATAGCAAGGTATGGTTTTGGATACTGCCAAAGGTGTTCTTTTCAAAGATAGTGCTTTTGTCTTAGCTTAATTTGTGAAAGAAGAGGGTTCTAGCTGCAACACTGTGCACAGCTGGAATAATTAATTGTATTGTGCATGGGGCAATACAGAACTCACATACAGGCTTTAGAGTTGCTTTTACAAATTCTTGTGCTCCTTGATTTCAATTGCAATAGTCAAAGAAGATCAAATGCCACATGCACACTCAAACCTCACAGGCATTCTTTACTCGTCTTATTATTTCATACAGTGTTGCATAAACAATGAACAGGTGAGGCCATATTAAACAGAAGATTGAGCAACTTGAAACCTTGCATCCTGCTAGTATAAATATAAGATATTTGGTGTATTTCTTGGACTGGCATAGCTATTTTTTGATCTCTAAAGATAGGCTTTGAGCAAATTAATAGTGTGCTGGGCACAAACCTATGAGTCAAACTCTGTTCTCAGACAGCAATCCACAATCCATCTAAGCTGGAGTGCTGGGAATGAAGGTAGCATTATTTTATTTTACTTATTTGTTAAGCAATTTCTATATCACCCTTAACAAACATCCACAGGGTGGCTTACAAATTAGAAACATTGTAAATGCATAATATAAAACATTTAGAAACAAAAACAACAAATTAAACTTGCAATAACAGTATCAGCAGACCAGCAGCAGTTCCAACAATTATATAATTCCACAATACCTGTATCTGTATCATACTTGCTCTCCATCAAAGGCCTGGGGGAAGGCAAGAATTGCAACCTATCTCCAATATGAAAGCAGTGATGGAGGAAAACACACCTCCATGGAAAGGTCATGCCAGACTTGTGGAGCTGCCAGTGAGAGGGTTCTACTGCAGGTCCCTGCACTCAGTATTGTTGGGGGACATTCGGCACAGAAACATGTGTGTATACCTTTAAGAAGTTTCTGGGATTAATTGGCTGCAGCTGACCATTGCTATAAAAGAAAAAAGCTGAGTTTTGTAGCCTGCCTGCAGGATTAACACCCACCAGAGTTTGTGTTTATTTGTTTAGTAATAAAGTCTTCGTTTTAGTTTGGGGTTTTTTACACCTATGTCTCTTGGAGTTACTCTGTCCTCTGCCACTGGCTGGAAATCCCCCTCCAACAAGTATATCCTTGATTGGGGGGAGGGGCACCAAAAGCCTTTCCTGGTGATGTTAAAGAACAGGCAATATAGCCTGGCTGGCAGACCACACACTGCACTCATCACATCAAAGTTATCATGACTAAGTCAAGCTCTGAATTGTGAGACTTCTGAACCGGGAGATAGCCAAACATTAGAGGCTGGATGGGATCATAAAAAGGAATGGCACAGGGAAGCAGGTGGTGTTGGCCACCTTTCTCTGCCCTATTAACCTCTGCTTATCTTATTTCTCTTTTGGCAGCTAATTGCCCCAAGGATTGAAAGGGGGAGGGAAGGGGCCAATTAGCTCCTAAAGGATACAAACACAGACAAATGATTGATGCAGCCCCTGGTTTCTGCTTCCCTGTGCCAGATGATCCTAGATTACATTTCACTGCTTTTGACATGATGGTGTTGTCAGGATCTTCAAGGTAGTCTACACAAACAGAAGTTCATATGCTAAAAGTGTTTCTGGACTGTACTACTTGAGTTTGCAAGATGGGGATCACATATGGGAATTATTATCCCATATCAAAATAGAGAAAGATAGCTGCACACACACACAGAGAAATGCATGTGTTGGAGAAGGACCTTCTCCTTGACACAAGAACTGTCTACACACAAAGGTTGTTTCTTTGCCTATGGTGCAGCATTCAAACCTGCAGCCTGCACTCTAACCCCATATTCTAAAGCAGCACAGAACTGCTAATTGTGTCACCCAGCCCTTAACCCCACTTGAGTCAAAGAGCCATCTGGTGTAACTGATTTGAGATTTGGGCTGCAATCCTACACACACATAATAATATTCTGCTTCCAAGTACCGTAAATGTGGCTTGTTTAGCATCTGGCCTGTAAATCCATCCTAGTACTTTCAATTGGAATAAATGCACTTAATAAATGCTTCCCCATGCTTTAATCTATGCTTTTTATTTTGTTATGTATTTATCTAACGGGAGGAGGGTGGGTGCAGCAGAATGTACAAGCCTTTTCTAATAGAGAGATTTGATTAGGCAGTCTAAGGTGAAAACCTGTGCCATTCCCCAGCAGCTGGAAGAACAATTGCAGCAGACCATTTTCACCAACTGCTGAATGGAAGAGAGAGTATTGTCAAAAGGGGAACTATGACTGTGATGTCACCATATTTTTTGCCATCTGGCAGAAAACAGCATATGGGACCTTTTCCTGAAGTAAAATCATGCAATGTGGCTGCTGGGTATGCGAGCTTATTAATAGAAAGCCATGGAAGTCATACCAGTAATACTAGGGCAGCTAGTTTAACAAGTATTTAGCACCACCAGCATTCTAGATTATGTAGAGTAACATGACAACTAGAGAGGATTTGCAAGTAAAATATGGAGGTGAGAATGAAGGAAATGAAATAATAGAGTAACAGAATTGTAGAGTTGGATCACCTAGTCCAACCACCTGCAACGCAGGGATCTTTTGCCCAACATGAGGTTTGAACCCATGACCTGAGATTAAGAATCTCATGCTGTACCAACTGAGCTATCTCCTAGGTCCTATAGCAAAGAGAACAGTTCAGGGCAGATAATTATTGTAATCCCTGCAAAGAAAAAAAAAGTGAGTAAAGAATGGGTCGTGGATGGGTCTTGTCTCTAGCGCAGGGGTAAGCATAAGGTTGATCACAATCTGCTGCTAGATTGGTTTGGTGGGGAAAGCATCAAGATGCAGCATTTCATAAGAAATGACAGGGTAAATACAAGATAGATATAGGTGGTGGCTAAAGTTGTGTGTGCACCATTTCCCAAATCAGTGGATGCAGAATAAACAGGAATGCATACACAGTCTAAGAAGCCATGCAGTGCACAGTATGATGTTTCACGAACTGCAGCTGCTGAGGTATATTCTGAACTGTTGATAACATAATACAGACAGTTATGGTTTTTAAGCATGCCTTTAGGCAAAAGAATAAGCATCCTCTTTTGACTTTTATAACTGCGGGGGATAGGCTACTGCAGAGTAAACAAATACAGCATATAGCAGAACAGAGTCTTCAGCAATGCATAAAAGTGGTGGTGGTGGTGGTGGTGGTGGAGGAGGAGGAGGAGGAGGAGGAGGAGGTTTGGACAATGATCCTGGCTAGGCATGTGCGGATGTTACAAGCATTTCCTTATTCTCATCTGTAAATTGTGCAGTGTTGAAGACTATGGTATGTGGTATCTGCTGAACATGTTTCGATGTGCTGACTTCTTCACAGATATGAAAAGAGGATGTATCTTTTTACTTACAAAACAATTCTTATTCCAATACCATGTGGCAGTTCTCTTAGAACATTCACGGGGAACCTCTGGCCCATGGGCCTAATTAGGCTTGACATGGGTCTGAATTTGGCCTCGAAACATGGCCACCTGCCCCTCACATGACATCATATATGAGGGGCAGGTTGTCAGTGCACAAACAGGAGCCATAAAGTGCATTTCCAATTGAGCACTGGCAAGGGAGGCTTGCTGTCACTGCCAATGAGCTGATTGGTGGTAAGAGCAAGCTAGCTGGGATTGGCTACACTACTAAGTTTCCCATGGGGAATTCCACAGAGCAGCCAATCACAACAAATAGCAGAACCTAAAGTCATTGTCTATCAGCTGATAGGCACTGCTTTCAAAGTTACTGGGATCAGCTGCACTACTGACTTCCCCATAGGGCACTTCATTGAGCAGCTGCCCTCTGCAGAAAGCAGATCAGCACCAATCAGCTGATTGGTGATCACTTCTGACTGTGCTTGGATGGTCTTGGTTTTTACCTTGTAGCATGGCTTGCTACACTACAAATAATAAAAAAAGAGTTACTGACATCATTGTGGCATCAGGTGACTAAGAAGTGGGCAAGCCACCAAAACATATACACCTTCTGTTCCTTCTTTTCTTGTTCCTTTGTATATTTTTGCACTGCAAGCCGGTTTAGATACACCTGAGCATGTGCAGGTTTCCAGACTGAGCCTAGATAAGCAGCCAACTGTAAATAGTTTTTGTAGTCCTATCATGAGCATAGAGCACACATCTTGCCATCAACCATTGTTCACTTGATGAATAAACGCAAATCAGAAAGCCAATTGATTTCCCCCACCATATTCTACATTATCTGAGAGACAGGAAATGATTGGGTGATTTTACCTACTTTGCTGTGCTCATTCTCTACAACATGGCAACAACACTCCAGAATAGCCTTCATGAACCATGGCTGAGGCTGATGGGAGTTGTAGTCCAAAACATCTAGAGGGCAAAAGGTTCATGAAGGCTGCTATAGACTAAGCACACTGCAGTATGACAAATCTGTGCAAGAGATCAAAGTCCAAAAAATCAGCTTTCAAAGGAAAAAAGGATAAAAACCCGAGTACAATACTGATATTGTACAACAAAACTGTATCTAAACCTCGCGTACAAAAAAAGTGATTGTTAATACGTTCACACTTCCTTCTTCAGCCACTCCTTGCCTGCCCTAGCCTCAAAGTTCTGCCTGTAGGTCTCCACTGAGAAACTCAAAATGTGCTTATGGCCTGTGATGGCCGCAAAGATACATAATGGCTTTGTATCTATATCACAAAGAGCCAGATAAAACAGAGACACCGAGCGCTTCACTCATTAACATTTGTGTTGCCATGACAGTAAGCTGTTGCCAGGTAGCAGGGAACTAGGAGAAGAGTGAGAATTAACAAAGCCTAAAAATAAAACTAGCAGCTTAAAAAAAACAAAAAAAACCCCACTACCCATATAGATGTCCCTGTATAACAAGAAAAATAATTATTGCCTCCCTCTCCTTTCCCTCCCCACTCTAAAGGAAAGTTTCTGTACTATTGCTCCAGCCATCTATGAAGGAGAGTCATGGCCCTTCCAAAAATAAATGCCAGTGGGGGAATTGGGAGGAATTTGCAGGAGGGAAAGCAGGGACATTTCACTAGTCTCTCATCTGGTCCTTCATGCCTGTGGATGGCCTCTACAGTGCTCCCTGTAGGAGAGGCCTTACAGGTCCATAAAAATTGGCATGTGAAGGTACCCTAAGGATTCTAGTGCCATGTCCTTAGAGGACTCTGTTACTGGGCTTCTAGAAGTCTTCTTGCCTAGCCCTCACAGTAAGTCAGGGTAGAAGAGCAGGGCGAGCTTGTTCCATTGACCCCCATTGTGGTAGCTTTCCCTGGACTCGGGGATCGATACTAATCAAGCCACACACATAGTTTGAATTTAAAGTCCTGAGTCCAGGACAGAGGAATGGATAGTAGTCACTTACACAACACCAAAAAAGTGGTCAAAAGAGGACATATATTTGCATAAACTCTATGTGAGAAATCTCTATGTGGGACAAGAAGCTACAGTTAGAACTGGAAATGGAACAACTGATTGGTTCAAAATTGGGAAAGGAGTACGGCAAGGCTGTATATTGTCTCCCTGCTTATTTAACTTATATGCAGAATTCATCATGCGAAAGGCTGGGCTGGATGAATCCCAAGCCGGAATTAAGATTGCCGGAAGAAATATCAACAACCTCAGATATGCAGATGACACAACCTTGATGGCAGAAAGTGAGGAGGAATTAAAGAATCTTTTAATGAGGGTGAAAGAGGAGAGCGCAAAATATGGTCTGAAGCTCAACATCAAAAACGAAGATCATGGCCACTGGTCCCATCACCTCCTGGCAAACAGAAGGGGAAGAAATGGAGGCAGTGAGAGATTTTACTTTCTTGGGCTCCATGATCACTGCAGATGGTGACAGCAGTCACGAAATTAAAAGACACCTGCTCCTTGGGAGAAAGGCGATGGCAAACCTAGACAGCATCTTAAAAGCAGAGACATCACCTTGCCAACAAAGGTCCATATAGTTAAAGCCATGGTTTTCCCAGTAGTGATGTATGGAAGTGAGAGCTGGACCATCAAGAAGGCTGATCGCCGAAGAATTGATGCTTTTGAATTATGGTGCTGGAGGAGACTCTTGAGAGTCCCATGGACTGCAAGAAGATCAAACGCATCCATTCTTAAGGAAATTAGCCCTGAGTGCTCACTGGAAGGACAGATCGTGAAGCTGAGGCTCCAATACTTTGGCCACCTCATGAGAAGAGACGACTCTCTGGAAAAGACCCTGATGTTGGGAAAGATTGAGGGCACAAGAAGAAGGGGACGACAGAGGATGAGATGGTTGGACAGTGTTCTCGAAGCTACAAACATGAGTCTGACCAAACTGTGGGAGACAGTGGAAGACAGAAGTGCCTGGCGTGCTCTGGTCCATGGGGTCACGAAGAGTCGGACACGACTAAACGACTAAACAACAACAACATTTGCATAAACTGTGCCCAATACATTTCCCCATAGTTGGGAAGACTGGAGTCAAGAGACCTATATGCCTGCTAAGTCTGCTGTCCTGTGCTAACTGCTGGTGATGAGCAAGTTCAAGGCACATTATAATCCTTCTAATAGATGACAGTCATTGGTAAAGTAGGACATGTGCCCTCTCTAAGGAGCGAGGAGCAAGCTCAATCCCTCTTCAGCTCCAAATCCATCACAGAGGAAGTAGTAGTAGTAGTAGTAGTAGTAGTAGTAGTAATAGACAAATTGCTTCCTTTCAACCACCCTTTTTGGCTTTGGGCCTTTGCACAGCTTTTTTTGTTGCCATGGCCTCAAGCCACAGCATTTGGGGGAATTCGGGAAAGAGATAGTTTGCTGTTCTGACTCCTTGCATCTTGGGAGCAAATGTCAGGGGTCCCTACCATTAGAATCCTTCCCCCACAGTGCTTCCTTATCCACCCTTTCCCATGCCTCATCTACAAGAGCTCCATTTGGGGGTTAAAGTAGATAGATTACATCACCAAAGAAAATGGCAAGTTAGAAATATTTCTAAATTTGAGAAATCAGGAGATTAACAAGTCAGGAAAAAACAAACTGGTGCTGGTCAACATTTTTGTAGAAAATCACCATCTAGACACATTTTGAGCAACAACACCACAAGTTCTTCTTCAGGGATATAATAATAACAACCAATCTCAATTCTCTAGACATATGGATTCTAATAATAGAACTCTCTAAATTTCTTCTCAGAGCCAAAAAGAAAGAGTGATGGGTAAAAATATGAAAAAATATATATGTAAAGGAATGGTGTTGTTTGAACAGTTTGCTTTCCAATAAAGATGAGAAGGATGCAAGTACATTAAGTTAAGCTACCTATTTTACACTATGGAAGTGACTTTGTGGTTAAGTTATGGATGCTGCTATAGAAATCCGAATAGCTATTACAGAACCAGGAAGCAAAGGCTGAGGTGGGCTACACTACACAATTAGGGCCACATCTTTTAAAGCACTATGATACCACTTTTTGTGTTCTTATTTTGTATTTTTATGTTGTAAACTGCCCTGTGATCTTTGGATGAAGGGCGGTATACAAATTTAATTATAAAATAAAACAACAGCCATGGCTTCCCTCAAAGAACCCTGGAAAATTTAGTTTGTTACGGGTTCCAAAAGTGATTAGGTAACCCACCCACTCCATTCCCCCCACTGAGCTACAATTCCCAGAGGT